ATCTGAATGAAGTAGAAAATTCAATAAGCTGAAGACCAGGTTTAAACTATAACGCTATAATATAATAACAATGAATGTCACAAAAACATCTAAACGTGTCCTCATTTATATCATAACCATACTTTGTGCCTCTAACAAGGGGGCTGCTAATGACAAAAGAAATCTCCGTAGGCTCCGTTAAGCCATCACATTTCAAAACTCCCGCGACTGTCGCTGAAAACTGCGCCAAAAACAGTTTTACAGGAAATCGTCCCATCAAAATAAAAGCTTCTACAAACGAACAGGAAGTTGGTAGTAGAAAACGGCAATGAGTGCCAAAATAAGGTGCAAGGAAAGGCATTCAGGGTTATTTACATCATATATTCTATATTGTTCAATCATACTTACATGACATTCTGTGTGATATCTGGGGAAATGCTTATAAAACACAAATCCAGTATGCGCTCATCTTGCATAAACAAACCATCAAATACACTTTTTATTAAAAGAAATCCTCCTGAACTTAAAGACTTGGTCGACCTTGGAGCTGCACAAATAATGTATAAAGCAGCAAACAAATATTTGTCCCACAACATGCAGGACGTCTAATGCCGACTCATCGTGACCTGAGCCAGTGGTTAGTAAGGACTAATGTCAGATATCACAGCATTACAGTCACAGGAGTGAGTATGTGGAACAAAGATCCTTTGATAAATCAGCACAACAGTTCAGTAAAAATCCCTCACAGAGTTGTAGGAAATCTACATGTGTGGGTCACAGGCTTTCCATCCATGCTCCAACTCAGAATCCCCCAAAGTGCATTTGGAGTATTTGGAGTATTTGGAGTATTTGGATTATACCTCAAACACTAGGCAAAATAAAACAGTCACCGGCTCGATGTCAGCATCCAGATATTTTACTCCTTAACATATGTGATTGTTGTCTTATAGGTAATGAAGCTGGATACATGGATATAACCCTGTCACTAAATAGCAGTGGGAACCAGGAGTGGTGGGACATTGCTATTGCGAACTGTTACTCCTCAGAGTGTGGTGTACTGCCCATGGTCATATTCAGTGACAAAGTCAGTCCTCCCAGCCTGGGCTTCCTGGCAGGATACGGGTAAGAAACACACAACTACCAATGTAGGAGTTTCAACTGAAACAGTTCAGTTGAATTTTATTTAT